ACCAACGATTAATCCCTATATTCATAGTTTTCAGAGCGTAAAGTTGGGTTTGACCCCGGTGCAGGCAGCTCCGATCATCCGGTAGCCGAGAAAAAGTGAAGTCAAAACAGGAAAGCAGGCGTGTCAAACCGCGCAACTGTGCGCCGCTACGGTCCAGGAATGCTTTGTGTGCACGGGGGTTACAGCCCCTGCACGGTTCGATGGGGTATTGTCCTTTCTCAGTGTCAGGATTTATTACTTATAATAGCAGAAAAAGGCGGATGAGCTTTTATGGGTGAAACGGGAGGATGGAGCACAGCGGCGGATGGTTATCACGTTTACCTCGGAAATTTCCCTTTAATGAGGGGGTAGATTTCATAATTTGTATTATAAAGAGGAATCTCACCGGTTCCCACACCTCCACACCTTTTTATGTTATAACCTCAGTTCTGGCGGCGGCGGCGGGGGGGGGGCTCCTGCTCACTGAATATGTTTTGAAATACTCCTGAGCCCCCGAGCTGGAGGTTTAATATCCGAGTTTGACTGAACTCGTGAATATGAGCCCGTTTTACGACTTTCACCGCTGAGGTTGGAAATCTTGATCGATGATTTTCTCCGTATGACCTTAAAAATGAAAAAGATTAAGAATAAAAATCTGATTAGGAGGAAGAATTAATGGTATTAGTGTCTTTTGCCTCGGCTCTCATTGGCATCTGTTGTCCAGTGGAAACCTCGTCTCTCCCTCCTCCAAAATGTCAACTGCCAAGTGCCATGTATTTGTTTAGGGCTTATTTAATTGGCTTTGTAAAGGTTTCATGTAATAGGTTTTTAAATTGTTTCATAATCCCACGGCTTGTATCATTTTCTCTAACAATAAAACAGCATGTGATGATTTAGCTCACGTTAAAACAGGAAAATGCCAGAAAAAAAAAAGGTTTATTTCTCCAAAAGCTGTTTGATCCACATAAGCAGAGATATAGTGGAGCGGTGTATGACGGGTGTGAATCAGCAAAGGTTGGGGGTTAAATTCCCTATTCATGTTGCTCTGTCAAAAACCCGTCGGATCAAAGCGTCCGTGCTGTTATTTTATCCAGGAAAGTGTTTCCCATCTCCCTTAATTCATGACCGGTGACAGCAGTGAATGTGGCGCCCACTTCGCTCTAGTCTCTGCAGCACGAAATCACGGCGCCAGCCCTGTGACAGATAACACATACAAGACATTTACATCACTTACAAGTTCATGCATTTCCATAAAGACTCCCTTGTCTTCTTCTTCTTCTTCTTCTTCTGGCTGCTTTAACATAAATAGCAGCTCTGTGCCCAAAGACGGACACTGCGAGGAAATCCAACGGGACCAAGAGAGTCACAGCACTTTAGACTTCAGAACGTGGTAGATATATAATGGATGCAGACGATATTTTCACCGTTTACCTGCAGGCTGCATGACGTGATATAATGAGATCAGTGCAGACAGACTATATGTGGTTACAGCTCCATCAAAGTCACTTATCTCTTCTTTTATTTAATCCTCAAACTTTGCTGCCAGGGGTGGGGTGGTGAGAGAGAGAGAGAGAGAGAGAGAGCTTGTGTGTAAGTGTAGGTGGTGGTGGTGTCAACACTAAACTTGTCAATTACGCACAACCAATAATCAATAATCACAGAGAAAGACCACCACTTTATCATGACTTACACAAATGTCCTGTATGTATGAGCTGTCGGGAGTCTGCTGGTTAAATGTGTCACTTTTACTCTCCCTCTTAATACTTACAGGCAGCACTGTTGATTTTACAAGTCACATACATTTCTTAAAATGTAAAATGTGTTTATATTTCCCAGTGCTGCCATCCAGGCTGGAGAATAGCTGTCAGCAGGTGTAATTATAGTATCACAGTTTGATGTAATACGATGATGCAGGTGTAGAAATGATGAAATGTTTTCCAGCATGTTCCTGTCCTCTCCTGTTCAAAAATGCGGGTGAATGATATTTCACAGGTGATTTATTAAAAAAACGCCAGACATCTTTTCCAACCACGCTTGTGTGAGAGAAGCTAACATCTGTGTGTACTGGTGTTTATTCGTGTTAACTCTTTTATACTGCGTCTGTGCGGAGAGCAGCGGAGTAAATGACCTGTTGGTTTCAGTGACCGTTTTCAGAAATACGATAATATATAATAATATATATACATTTTTCATTGTTTGCACTGTTCCTATAATTAAAAGTCTGTGTCTGTCACTGAAGTCAGTCAGTCAGCTGTGTTCTGATCTTTTTCCGCGCCGGATCATTTTTCTCTTTTAAAACTGTTTACGATCTGTTCGCGCCATCAAATATTCATGTGCACTTCAGTAAGTGCTCAGTAGATTTGTCTTTGTTATAGAAGAGTTTTCATAATGACTCGAGCGGCTGATGGTGCAGTTTGAATTCCTGATGTCTGAAGAGTAGTAGTAAACAATGTGTGTGTGTGTGTGTGTGTGTGTGTGTGTGTGTGTGTGTGCGTGTGTGCGTGTGTGCGTGTGTGCTTGTGTGCGTGTGTGCGTGTGTGTGTGTGTCTTTATGTCCTCTTGTGGACACTTCAACCTGAAAAGGTTCAGGGTTTATATATATATCTATACCTATATAGGCCTATATATATATATATATATATATATACATATATATATAAATAAAGAATAAAAAATAAAATCATGAGTATCATAAAATACATAGGTAGTGTTATATCTAATAGGAGTGTTTACTGACCCATTAGTTAACTGACCATTTAAAATCTGATAATTAATTAATTAGTCAATAAATTAATTAAGTTAATTATCAATTATCAAATAAATATACCAGATATTCTTTTTCAGCTCCATAAATCTGAGGATTTGTTGTTTTTTGAATAATAATAAATTAATAATTAAAATGAATAAATGCAAATGGCATATTTTTCTGATGGGACAAAATAAGTAAGGTCTATATATGATGACGTCACTTTGGGGTTTGTTAAGAGACATTTTTCAGTATGTTTTGAGATTCCATAGACTACAATATATGATTGTAACAGTAATCAACAGATACTGGAGCTCTTTACCTATAAAACCAACAATAACAAGCTGTCTATACAGTAATGGAGTAATGGGCCAGTTACAGGTCAGGTCTATAGGCTGTGAGCTGCTTCCCAGACAGCTAAATTAAACTTCTGGCCCAACATAGGCCTGGTCCTCGGCCGAGTCTGGCCCATATAAATCCATAACTGGGTAGATTCCAGCTGTTGTGCTCTGGTATTTTCTGACAGCTGCAAGAATTTCTGTGTGTGCGCCAGAATTGGTCCAGATGTGGAAGTAGCATCTGACAGTCCTGCTGTACATGGGCCAGGTTCGGGCGTATACTGGGCCAGGAGAAAACAAGCATGTGGCCCAAGTGTGGGCCGGATTCATTTTGCTACCTGGGTTGGTTTTTATGTGAAGGGCTAATACGAAGGGCGGTGACAAGCTAATGATCATGTGAAGATGTAAGAATGCAGATCTGTCTCTAATAGCCCCCCTCCACCATTTCTCCCCCCCTCCCCTCCCTTCCCCCCACCGCCCCCCCAGTAGCTGCGGGCAGGAGGCGTGGCCGGCAGACCTATAGCCGCTACCAGACCCTGGAGCTGGAGAAGGAGTTCCTGTTCAACCCGTACCTGACCCGGAAACGCCGCATCGAGGTGTCGCACGCGCTGGCTTTGACAGAGAGGCAGGTGAAAATCTGGTTCCAGAACCGGAGGATGAAGTGGAAGAAGGAGAACAACAAGGACAAGTTCCCCAGCAGCAAGAGCGAGCAGGAGGCGGTGGAGAGGGAAAGGAGGGAGAAGGAACTGCGGGAGGGCGGCGGAAGTGGAGGAGGAGGTGGAGAAGGTGGAGGAGGAGGAGGAGGAGGCTCGGTGGCGGTCGCGGTCGCGGGCACGGCGGCATCACAGGCCCCCGGGAGTGAGGATTGCTGCGAGAAAACCCACAAGCAAATGTAGGGAGGAAAGTAAAGAAGAAAGTTCATTAAGGGGGAGAAAGTTAAAGAGGTGGGGGACGAGGAGGGTATAAATGCTGGACAGGAAGGGATGAGGGTGGGTGGGGGGCTGTTTTTTGTCTTAATTGAGGCCATTGGACTGCCCCGCTGTCTCCGCGATCCAATCCATGGACAGAAACTTGAGTCTCCAAAATGGCGACTGGTGAGCTGGACTGAACTGAAGGGGCCTCGCGCCTCTGTCTGCTGACTGTGGAAACCGCGAAAAAAATGATGCAATGAAGCAAGAACATGAACTTTAAAAAATAAAATTGATCGGGGGGAGGGGAGGGGGTCAATCCAAGTCAAACAAACATAGTCTAGCCTACTCTAGTGTTTAAAACAAACAAACAAAAAAAAAGAAAGAAAAAACGATAGCTTCATTTCTTTGTGGAACAATTATCGTGGAAACATTTCTATATTGTTAGAAGTTTATCATTAACAATTTTATCTTTGGCAGCTGTATAGTTTTTAAGTTAAAAATGATGATGGTGCACTTTTTACTGTACTTCTCACTTATATGTTGTTGTTGTTGTTCTGGTAATGATTGATGATGATGACGATGACGATGACGTAGCAATTAATGAAATTTCCAACAACATGAAACTGCCTATTTATGCCATTTTAGTGGGTCGGGTCTCTTTTTTACACACTCTAATTGTCGTTTTAGTTGTTTTTTTGATCGATGGTGTTTGTTTTATGTTGTCATCCTTTTTTCTCTTTTTGGGTAAAAAGCATGCGCACAGTTCAGATTTAAAAAAGAGAACATTCATAAAAATAAAAATGAGAAAAAAATGCAATAAAATGTTTTCTGCGTTTAATGTGAAGAAGAGGAGAGAGGGATGGTGTTATTACTGTTTTACTAGAAATATGAGAAGAGAAGTTGGTTCCTTTTGCTTTCAACTTCTTTTTAACCCGAGCCTACTCTCCATCCTTTCTCTCTCCTCACTCTTCCTTCTTCCCCTCTTTTCCTCCTTAACCTCTTCTCCTCACAACCCTGTCATCCCCTCCCTCGTTTCCTCCTCCTCTCCTCTCTCTGTCAGCACCCAGACTGATAAAACAGTTCAGTTCACCAGGCCAAACATTTAAGCCCTGACTCGGAAGTCCCTCCCACAACGCACACACACACACACACACACACACACCCACACAATCCACATCCTATCCAAACATCACTTTATTTATGGCCTGGTCCTCCACCTCCACTTACATTATGACCGGTCTGTATACACTGCCTTCCATCATCATCACGATGACGACTTGAGGTCGGATTGTTTCCATATGGGAGATCAAACGCACTGCTCGTGCACATTTACACATTCATATATATATCTTCATACGGTTTGGACTTGAGCTCGTGTGTCAGACTTTTTTTTTAGCCGGAATCTTCAGTTTTATCAAAGCACTGAATATTGGTCCGATCAAGTTGTCAGGCGATCATTAGGAAACAGATTCAAAGCGTCCGTTTTGTCTCACGTGGAAATCTGCGATATAAAAGAGCAACACTTGTGGAGGAGCAGTTTGACAGACAGATGCTGCAGACTTTACACACACACCGTTTTCCCATCAGGTGAAGACAGGCAGAGATGAGCAGAGATGTGCACCTGCCAGTGAGTGAAGAGCCGAGTGACGCACGGTCCAGCTACTTGAGTGCAGTTTATAAAATAAAAGTCCAAAGTAACGTAATTCTGGAGCGTTTCTGCTGCAGTACTCTTACAGTTGTTCTGCTTTCATTATATTTATGTTTTAACAAACTGATATTGACAGCAACGATCATATTTGATTGTTAAAGGTCTCCTCAGCAGTTAGATTAGAGGACTCACCACAGACTGATTGAAAATGGGTTGAATAGATAGGCCATCCAGTCTGTTCCTCTGTGCGCTGGGTCAAGCTCCAAAAACACTGGATTCTACATTTCCCACTATAGCTTTGTCATTAGACCCCCCTCTGCCTCCTTAATATCCAATACTTTTAAACTCTATACCTTCAGTTTTTAATGTTTTCTGTCAAAAAAATTGATCTGAACCTCACAGCAGAGACAACCCTGATATTCTCACACTGTGGAAACCTCCCTGTACGGACGGAAGATATTATACGACTGTTATTGTGAGATGAGTAGCGCTTCTTTTAACGAGCGAGCTGCCACTTAAAATTGTCCAAACGCTTCTACTGACGCTTTATGGTTTGTTTTAATGACAACACTGTAAAAGATTTAAAAAAAAAAAAAAAGCATGATACCAGACTTCGTCAGAGACGGAGAAATATAAGAGTATACTAGAATCAGACTCCAAAGTTAAATTAGGGGGCATAAGCCTCAGTTAGAACCCATCCCCTTACAATAACCACTACACATGAGGGATTCCTTAACTACTCAGAGACTTGATTCAGGATGATGCAGCATGTAAGCAAATATATAATACAGGCGTTAAAACTACATTTTGTCACTTTGAGAGTGCACACTTATAAGACCATATACGTGCAGGTAGCTTGTTATGACCCATAGTTTTATTGCTAAGAGACTTCTAGTCATGTGAGACAGCTTCAGTCTTTTCACCAAACGCCCCCAAAATCACATGTTTATATTCAAGTGACAAGGCCCTCAAGCGGAGGTACAGGGAGGAGGTTGGGGTGGATAAAACATCTGACTTCAACCGGGAGAACAGCAGTTTCCATGGTGTTCACTTCTCTGTTCAAATCAATGGTCAGCCCTGTATCTTTTAACCATGAAGATGAAGGTCTTCTAACCTGAAGGCAGCCGCCACACATTTTAACTTAACTGGATCTTTCTCTAAATCTATTCAGGTTGTTTTTTTGTGCTTAAACATAACCAAACCAACCACAGAGCATTGTCACATTATACAAGGATGATTCATTCATTTATCAGATTGTATTTTAATCTGTGGTATGTCTCCTGCTGCTGAGGAAGGCTCCTGTGGGTGTCATCAGAGGATAGAGACAAATGATCTTATGGTCATTTAGGCTGAGAGAGCTTGTTGTCTAAACAACCAGACTACAACACTAAGTAAGAACGCAAAACCCTCTCGTTGTTCACAGTAGGATACATTAGTTGTTCAGATTCTTAAAAAAAAGTGTGCCATTAATAAAACAACCAAAAAAGAAATGACATGTAGTGAACTTGCATGTCTAGGGGCCAGGGCAGGTGTCCTCCTTGAATCCAATTTTCAAATTTGAAAAACCAAAAGTTAAATCTTGTTTATTTTCACTTTGGCGAAAACAGAGTCCCATTTTTTAAAATCACATCTGGCCAGAGGAAGTGGACTAATCTCTGGTTATGGGAGAGCGGGGATGAGATGTTAAGAAAGGGGGGCTGTCAAATCCACAGTTCCAGCTGGGTGAACACTGATGCTGGACCTTTCCAAAAGGTAAATGACTTTATGGCACCGTGAGGACTGGGGGTTTGACGCACAATACACCCATGCTTTACAAACACATCTACCTGTAGGAGTAAAATTTAAAAAATAAAATAAAATAAAATAAAATAAAATAAAATAAAATAAAATAAAATAAAATAAAATAAAATAAAATAAAATAAAATGTTAACAGACCTTCTCTTTCAAATCCTGCAACTGTTCCACATCCTTCCAGTTAGAAAGAAAAACTGTGGGTTTGTATGCTCACATAACTGCTCTCTGCTCTGTTAAACATTACATTCAGCACAGAGATTTTATCCCGCTGGACTCAGAGCTGCGTGGCGGGGAAAGGTCAGCGTCACGGGCACAGATCTTAGAGCGGCTGGGCAGGGTCCAGGACCAGGGGAACAGACCTAATCAGACCAGCGGTGGTTTATCCAGAATGGGCCTGGAGACTGGTGGAGACACACACGAGCACTTACGCCCATATGATTTTTTTTTTTCCCTCCTCTGAACTTGTGATGAGTTTCTTCTCTGAAACATCAATCCACAGTTGCTTCACCACCCACTCCGGTGTCTGGTTTTGTTTGCGTTTAAGCTGGAACATTTCAAGGCTCAGGACGCAGCGGTGAAAAATAATGAAGCTGTAATTCTTGGTGTTTTGACTATTAGTGGAATCAGTGTGGTGTTGTGCCTCTTGTAGCCGCAGCTGCTGCAGTCTTTCACTGGGAGCTTTACTGCAGAACGATTTTCAAAAATGACACGTTTGACTGCTTCCACGCTGTTTACACGGTCTGCGCTGCAGTGACCGGACAGCGACGGCAGCCTGTACAGTACAGTAGCCTACAGTTTGCTCTGCTTCGTGGGTCACTCTCTTTTGCATGTGTGCTCTCTAATGAGTCAGGATTAAATGTTGAGAACGCAGGAGATCCATCTCTTCTTTTAGTCTCCTCGGCAACTTTACGCGCCATTTGTTTCAAGTCCGATCAATATCACATGTAATGATGTTTTCCGCCTTTAGTGGACAACTTCACCCGCTTCCACCCGCCCAGGCCCGTGAAAGGTTGGAGTCCGGGCTGGATGTTTTGGCAGCCTCAGCCGTTTTGTTTTCCAGCTTTATGCGCGCTCGGTGATTAGTGGACACGTTCCGAGCTGCTGGGTATTGATTGTATAATATAGACTGCACGCGCGTGCATGTACGTGCGTGTGTGTGGTGTGTGTGTGTGTGTGTATGTTGCAGCGGTCACTCCCTGAGTGTTACAGCTAATTTCTCCTATTATAACCCTGCATCTGGAGGGAACCCCGCTCAGTCATTGGGCATCTTGGCATCACGTGAATCCGTAGTCACGTGGTCTGTCGGGTAATGGAAGGGAGGGGAGGAGGAGAGTGGGGAGGGGTGATTTTTGTGTGTGTGTGTGTGTAATTCTAGACAGTTATACTCCGCCAATAATTCACTGCCGACATTAAACCGCCCCAGGTCCACAAATCAACAGCGCCAAATTATGAGTTCGCTCCACTTCGCCAACGCGCTGTTTCCCAAATACCAACAAGCCGCTGCGAGCTGCTCCGCTCAGCTCTTCACAGACTCTTCAACTTCTCCCTCCCCGTCTTCCTCTGCTTGTCCTGCCGGGTCTTCTTCGTGCGCCCTCGCTTCCAGCGGATATCACCACCATCATGTCTCTAATGGGAGAAGCAGCGGAAGACTCCCTTTCCCTCCCCCCTCCTCTTCTTCTTTTTCTCCCTCCTCCTCCTCCTCCTCTTCCTCCTCCTTCCCCCCCTCCTCTACTTCCTTATGGTTCTGTTTGTCTCTTTCGGGACTGAACGGGAACAGCGGGGGCACTCAGCCCAGCACGCATCCTCTGAACCGCGCAGAAATCCGCACTGGAGGGGCTTACAGCGCGCCGGGAGCCGCACCGCCGTGCTCCTCTCTGCAGAGATGCGCCGCGGAGGAGCGGTTCCCCCGTCCGCCTCAGCTCTGCTCCTCGCTGGCCGCCAGGGTGCCTGAGCCGGCCTGCAGGATGCAGAGACGTTCGGAGCAGCAGCAGCAGCAGCAGCAGCAGCAGCCTCAGCCAAACCAAGAGAGGCTACAGATTTACCCCTGGATGAGAAGCTCAGGTGAGGAGTGGGGTGCGGGGGGGGGGGGGGTTGTTAATGAGGGTGATGAGAGAACTTGTGAGGCCTCACAGGTGAGGGGAGTAAGGGAGGGAGGGAAGGGGCGGTGGGGTATGTGTGGTGGGGTCGTGGTCTGTTGTGTGTCCGAGGGAGGGTGGGTGGGGGTGGAGGGTCTTTGGGACAGAGGGGGGTATTATTTCGACCCAATAATTACGTTAAGCGCTCTTTAAAGTGTTGGCCCGGTTGCGCAGCGGCCGCTGCCGGTAGCTGAACTATGCCTCTGTCCCAGCGTCTCTGTCACTGTTCTTTACAGCCTCTCTCTCTCTCTTTGCAGATCTTTTATGGCTGGGCGACCTCCATAAAACCATAGGCTAATTTAAGACTCGCTGAATATTCATTAGGTGGTATTGTTTTAAGAATTGGACGGGGGGGGGGCTGCGGTGTTATACCAAACCGTTTGAAAGTGAAGAAAGTCTTCCCTCTCTCCCGGTGTGAGCACGAGCTCTCGCTCATATTCAGTGTCTGACTCGGTTCAGCTCAGCCGCTCTGCCCTGATAGTCTTGTGTTTCTCTGTCAGTATACTCTGTGGCCCACTGAAAGCCCATTGTACTATTGTACTGTCTCCACAATCCGCTAATACTATAAACACTATAAATTAGCAGATGGGTTTGATCTGTGAATGGCTGCCCTTTCTGCGGATTGTAAAAGCGGCTTTGTGCGCCAGCAGCGGGATGGACGCTGAATGGACGCGGGGCCTCGGAGCCTCGAACTACAACAAGCAACACACACACACACACACACACACACACACAGCACAAAGAGCATTTTTATGCCTGCGTTAAAATAGTGAATGGTGGCGCGTCAAAAATGGGGAATATGGTGAGGGAGTGTTTGTGCTGAAAGCGAAGGAGACGTTGTTGGAACCTTAGAGGAGCCGCGCGCTAAAAGATCAGAGTGCGTAAAAGTCATTCATGTGACAAACGTGGAAAAACCTCCCAAACACTGTGTTTAAAGATAATCAGCTTATTCTGTGATGAAATGATTTTATTTCTTCTTCTACAGGGAAAAATATGGCCTCAAACACATATTCCTAAAGAGGAGGGACCTGGTTTTTCTAAGAATAATTTGCTTGTGTGTGTGTGTGTGTGTGTGTGTGTGTGTGTGTGTGTGTGTAGCAGTGTTTGTTAGTGCTTGTCATTTGAAGAGTTGTGATAAAGAGGATGAAAAGAAGAGAACTACATTATTATAATATAAAAATATAATTAAAAAACAATCAAATCAAATCAAATATAAAATAAAATACATCAAATATGTTTCCTCATATCTCGGTCATGAACGTGATATGAGGAAACATATTTTTGGAAATGGGGGGGTTATAGGCTATTAAAGAAAATTAGAGTCATTATTAATAATTTCTATAATAACGAAAGGAGAAAACACAGGAAGGCAAATAGAAAATATGTAATTAAAACACTCTCTCACACTCACACACACACTGAAAGGGAAAGCAAAAAGTATTTCTTTCTGTCAGCACTTCTATTATTTTCTCTCTCTCTCTCTCTCGTGTGTGTGTGTGTGTGTGTGTGTGTGTGTGTGTGTCTGTGTGTGTCTGTGTGTGTGTGAGATCGAACCAGCCAGCATGTATAACGAATTTATAGATTTTAATTTAGATCCGATTGCAGTCCAATGCGTCGGGAGATGATTGGAGGGAAAAGTCAAGTCCCGGATGTTCCTGATAACACACGACCGCTTATTAACGGAGGCATAGCTCGCTGTGTGTGTGTGTGTGTGTGTGTGTGTGTGTGTGTGTGTGTGTGTGTGTGTGTGTGTGTGTGTGTGGTCCACAGAGGTGGTGTTGGGGTCTGTGGCAGGTGTTTATGTTTGTGGACAGATTTTGTCATCGCGATAGTATAAAATTTAGTCACGAGATTTTACAGGTGAGCTGAGCTCGAAGGTGGGTGTTGTCTGCCCCTTGAGCACTGACTACTCATGTAATAACTACTACTTTATACTACTGACAAACGCACACACACACACACTCACACACACACACACACAACAATTATGTTAAAAATGTATTTAAGTGTTGAATAAAAATCTTTCAATATCAAGTTTTTCTCCTAATCTTCATGTCATAATGTTACAACTAACCTGGCCTGTGAGGGGAATTGTAACATTTCACTCCTTACAGTTTGAACGCACTGTTTTAGAAGATACAGACAGAAATGTCAACCATGTTACAACCATCCTGAGTCCAGACGTGAGGCTGTGAGGAGTCAGTTAGTAGATTAAAGGGCATGTCATAGAAATATTGATGTAGCTAGTCTCGCTCCAAACCTATTCGATTTTTCAGAATGAGGTTATTTAGTTAACTATGTAATTAGACCAGTATTATTCAAAGGTCTACATTTTATTTCTAGATTGTCTTTACACTTCTAGGAAAAACATTCCAGTGGAAACCATGTGTAACCATGGCAGTTTTTACCACCATGTTTTTAGCATGGAGTGTAAACTCCCCTCAGGTTGCTAAAAGCCCGAATTCCCAGTAAAAAAAACAAAAAAAAAACACAGAGGACATGACCTCAGTGTCCTCCGCCCTGGTCATGTCGCATATGTGCAGCAGTCCTGCAGTGAGTGTAATAAAGGTCTTATCTGAAGTGTCAGATTACACTCAGGACAGTGGCTGCAAGGAAAGCCTGTAGTATTTACTGGAGAAGGCTTGAAAATCAATATCAAATCAATGTGATTCCATTTTTCTTTTTTTTTCAGCACATTTACACCCAGAACACAGAGAGAGGCTGAAGATGTTTGTCCAGGAGATTTATGTCAGACATGGGAAAAGGCGTGGTGGACTGTGGTGGACTGTAGTGGCCTGTAGTGGATTCTGGTGGACTCTGGTGGACTTTGTCTCTGATTAGCATGTGACAAAAAAAAGAAATCTTGCTGCCGATGATTAAAGATGTGAGAACATACAGGCAGAGACTGTGTTGTCCGTGCGTGACTCTGGTCACTGTGAAAATCTGCCATCACACATTTATGAGCCTTCACTAAATACCAGCTAATGCCTGTTAAAGTCCAGATGACAGTCACGAAGCCCAGAGAGGCTGGTCACCGCTCTTTGTGACCCAACTGACCTGCAGTGTGAGCTCAGGGATGTTTACAGATCCTCTAGTAGAAAGCTGAAACCTCAGAGCTCAGATAAAAAAAAAAAAAAAAAAAAAAAAAAAAAAAATGCATTTGAAATATGTGTCAGAGAGTTCAGCAACAGCCTCCCAGAAATCCAAAACTCACACTCCCAGAGACTGTGGTGCAGCAGAGGGAGTTTTGTTTTCACGGGACTCTGCAGAGGAAATCAGCAGAGATGTTCCTGTGGCCTACAGACGACCTCTGAGTGGTGAAAATGTGACCCAGTTTCTCTTTAACCTTCAGGCTGTGTGTGACCTCGTAAAGACTGGAGGTCAGCCTGGTTTCTGTGGTCTTACTCAGCATTGACCCGAGCATATTTGACATGAAGAGCAATAGATTTTTTTTTTTTTCTTTGAATCTAATTAGTAATGCTCTAACGTCTGTTGTACACTAGCGGCCTGACTGAGCTGATTCATCGAGTCAGTGGAAACTCAAACAGCTCATCAGCAGTGACAGTCAGTCAGACTCTGCACCTTTCTACATCTATATTCCTCTTCTCACTGTGCTGCATGTGTTTCTTTTTGAGGTGAACAGAGTGTGAAGTAAATATTAAACAGTGATCCGTGCAGACAGAAGCTAAACCCGCAGTTTAACCACATCATTTACTAACGGCTTTATGGTGTTTACCAAGCCACAAGTGAAATGGCTTTGCCAGGAAGTGGAGGTGGCAACAAGTGGCCGCCAGGTGTGGACTGAGACTAGTCAACAAAACTAACACTCAGAGAGGTGATGGAAACATTATTCATTCACTGTGGAGATCAGTCTAATGTCAAACATTACTATTATTGGTAAGCAAAGCCTTCATCCATTAATCAATTGTAAAATGTTTAATAGGATAGTACTGATACATTTGAAGCAAATGGATTTTAGGTTTGGATTGTGAGTAAGTAACACGTTTTTAAATAAAATATTTAAACCAAAGATCAGCAGTTTGAGGCAGTTTTCAGTTTCTGGAACTTTACTTCTTTTACTTTCTTTTGAAAGCAGCCCCATATTTCAATAATTTGTTACAGATGTCTGATAATGTTCTGACCCTTGTGTTTTTCTTTTGGTGACGTTTCAAAGTTTCATCAAAGAAGTGCAGGGGCATTCTGGGATTCAGTGGCGTCACTGTGTGGGAGCAAGTAAACAAAGAAAAAACAAAAACTGTGAAACAAAATTCCCGATCCTGAGTTTATTAAAAAAAATAAAGCTCATGAGATAGTGAGTCATTTTATTTGTGTAGACCGCTATCTCAAACCTTTAAGATCAAATTAAAATTAAAAGTTAAAATTTTATCTCATCATATCAGAATTTTGATATTTAAATATTTTACATTTTAACATTTTTTTTACTTAGGCTACCAAAGTAAGTTTAGTGAATCCTTACATTTTATCTTTTTACATTTTATCTTTTCGTACATTTCATCTTTTTTTGTTCTATGTAACAAAAATATTGAAGATAACCTCAACTCCATCCAGTCAGCAGTAAACCTATGGGTAGTAAATCAAACCTATCACGTATGACCTGATAAGTCAACGTGAGCATGAGCTGTTAACTTAACATGTTTGATCTCATAGTTGTGACTTAAATGGTGTGGGTTAAAATTTGCCAGAATCTCAGAATGTTTATTTACCACGAGTATTTATTTATTTACTTATTTACTTATTTTCACATTTCTCCCACTGTTCTCTTTTCCTGGTGGAATTGTGGAAACTATTCAAACAATATTCATCAGTCGAGATAGAGCCTTCGGTATTTCACCATGGGCTTGAAACCACAAAGTTCAGCTGTCACTCCGTATTCTGTGACCTGAATATGAGTTTCATCCGTACTACCTTGTTACCATGGAAACATTTTTAATCGTAACGCGTTTCATTTTTGGTAAATCGTTGGGGGAAAAAAACTGCTCCTTTAAAATTTAGACAGGTTAAATATCGTGTTATTCAGATTACATGCTGCAGAATGAAAAGCTGAAATGTTTGGTAGCTGCCTTCAAAATAAAGTGACGAACCAAATATTTGTAGTAGCCTAAATAAAATTCCTCCTCAGGTCACATGGAATAACAGCTGTAGGTTACTTTGTGTTTTCAAGCTGATGAACATCTTAACAAGGAATTTCTGAAATTAAGATTCTGCTAAATATTTTATCTGATCAGTCCGCAGTGTGTGTGTGTGTGTGTGTGTGTGTGTGTGTGTGTGTGTGTGTGTGTGTGTGTTTGTGTGAGTGTGTGTGTGTGTGTCTGCACAGAGACTTTGTTCTGATTGGGGAGATATGTTCTTGTGTGAGCAGGTGCAGACAGGAGGCGCGGCCGGCAGACGTACACGCGCCACCAGACGCTCGAGCTGGAGAAGGAGTTCCACTTCAACCGGTACCTCACGAGACGGCGGAGGATCGAGGTCGCGCACGCGCTCTGCCTGACAGAGCGGCAGATCAAGATCTGGTTCCAGAACCGGAGGATGAAGTGGAAGAAGGAGAACAGGGCGACCGAGAGCGGCTCCCCGACAGCAGCACCTCTACCGACGGCTGAGGAGCAAGAGGAGGAGGAGGATGAAGAGGAGGATGAAGGATAACTAGACTGGACACTGTTAATGAACAAAGCAGGATAACAAAGTGTTTCAGCTTCACTCAGCAGTCAGGTTATTGTCATCCAGCAACAACTGCACTGTAAAAAAAAAATCATACAGGATTTTAGTGGCTTCATCTTTTCTCATTAACTTCATGTAAATTTGTAAGTTTTGTTAATTTCAATTGATAAACATGAGTTGTTCTAACTTAAAGTATTTTGACTTGAAAAGATAAGAATTAAGTTTTTAAAGAAACAAAACTAGTCGAGCATATTAACAGACTTCCCAGCATGCATTGCTGGGGGTTAAAACTGTCCAGAGATTCTCATTTTTTGTAGTTTGATGAAAACAGACATGATGTAAACTTCAAGTCTAAAGTCGTTGCTGTTTCTTATAAGGAATATAATAATAAAAATATAAGTCCACTTGATTTGACTTATAAATAAACTTACATTTAATTGCTGCCTTAAAACATGAGTAAACTTGACTTGAAATGGCGATTGGTGTGAATAAAGTTATCTTAACTTGAAATTGTGAGATAAAGTAGAGTTGAATTGAATGTTTTTTTAACAAGATAAAGCAGGTTTTCTTGAATGGATAATATAACATAATTGAACAACTTTTATAATTTAACTTTTTGAGTTGAAACAAAGCTTGTCTTAAACTTGTACATTAGTTATACATTTTATAACTAATGTTAAAAAAATGTTATAACTAATGTTATAAAATGACGTTAGCTATAAATAATGTGTAGATCCTGTATACTCATCCCTTTTACATCTATTTAATTTTGCTTAGAACATGTGATACATTTCTTAATGTAGACCATTGACCGTACCTGCTAAAATTCCATATATTAATTCAGCTCAGTCATGCCTTTCTAGAGAAAAAAAAAATGCTCAAATGAGAACCCTGGCTGGTGTTTGTGGGACTATCCTATAGCTAAAGTTTCCTGAAAGTAAATTAATATATTCATCATACACACTCATATCGGAAATATCCACTTACTGTACTCGTGTGTTTGTAGTACTGTATTTCCTCAAGGCGTCAACATTTCACATTCTGTTTTTTCAGACATGTAGAGGAACCCTCTGCCCACTGTCACACACATTTGGGATGAATCAGAGCTTGCATTGCCAAATGACCGGAGTTCAGATGTGTCAACACCCATTTGTCCTGCCTTTATTTTGCACTTCTTTTATTTCTGGAGCGTGTCAAAATATTTGTCAATTCAACTAAAACTGACAACTGTTTACTGACATTTTTAAGGCAGCAACTGAATTTAAGTTTTTAACCACAGGAATTATTTTTACAGCCTGAGAAGCTGTGAAAGACACGTTAAAACGACAGGAAATAATATGTAACTTACATCAGTGTAGTTGTGTGCTGTGATGTATTTATTTCCATCAGGTTGTAGGGCAGAATCATCATGTTTCAGCTCTGTGTGTCTCTTCAACCTCTTCAACAGCAGAGAGGGAAACCAGAAAGTAATGATCATATCAAGTGTAGGGGGTCTATGTCAGTTCAGGTTTTATGGAATCCATATAGAATCCTTCGTGTTATTATGAGAGAAGTTTCATCACCTGATCTGCAGCAGAAAGGGACACAATGTTTGTTCATGTAATGAATGAAAGGGCAGACATGATGTCTGTGGATATGCTGCTTATTGTTAATGATGAAAACTGTGTATAATCCAGAGAATGAAAGGATGCAGGGATGGAATCACAGCTTCATGTTGCTTTTTTTGTGATTCCCACTCACTAATGAATTTTCTTATTGCCCAGCCACCAACTACACTCTGTGCACTTTTCCCGCTTTTTAGGAAAAGATCCTCATAATTACACATTTAATTACTTTGAATTTCTGTTCATTTAAACTCCTTTATGATCTCATTTTTTAAAAAAAGGTTTGTAGTGGAGGATTTTTTTTTTCAGATTTTCCATCTAATTAGAATCACAAAAATATCAAAATCAGCATTAAAAAAAAAAGCCAACACTTTACACATAGTAGCTGTAGCTACATCTGCTCTTGTGCTTTAGAATATGGGGTTGATTCTGTCTCTAAAGGGTTAGTAGGGTTAGTATTATATGTAATATCAAATCTTCAAATGTCATGTGGTTAAACTATATGTGTACGTTGTCCTGAATTGATTTTTGATTCAATAATTCAGTTGATAGAATAAAACTCTTATATCTTTGAATAGTTGGTCAATGAGTTTGTGTCTGTCACGTGTTTGTTGATAAATGGCTCCACTGGAGTTCAGCTGTGTCTTCTCTTGTATGTAAATAATAAAAAATGTCAACTGATGAGTTTGTTGCCACATTTTTAACTGTCCCACATTTGCATTTTTGTGGTTCTGTTTGAAGACAAAACTTACAACACACAAACAATATGACTGATATTCCAACAACCACTGTCAGTCATCATTTATGGTCCGACACAATAACGTCAACATGTGGTTTACTAAGTCTTTATCATGTGTGTGATGAAGTCTTTGCTTCAGCAGCCCTTATTTCATCCATTCATCATTCACTTTTCAAATACTCTCTGGTCACAAAGAAGGTGAGTAAATAAACGTGACTTGTAAACGTTGATCATTCTGCAGGAGGCTACTTCAAGCAGATGTATAACATATCATGTAGTTCATGCAGGTCAGACATAACACATGTAGAATTTCCCATCCAACCACTCTTCATTCATCTCTTACTGTAAGAATAGTTTGTGTAGTTCTTGTCTGAGTCATTTAACACTTCAGGCGAACTTGTTTTAAACTGTCTGTGAAACAGCCTCTAAAAGTCACAAATCAAATGTGAATTCAAATATTTGATTTTCACATGTTAAAATATTTGATCTACAAAGACATTACAACCAAACACGTTGTGTTTGAGATGAAAAGATTTGTTCCTTTTCACGTCACAACGATAAAATGAATGGGAACACGTCAACGCTTGTATTCTTACAATCTTTAATTACATAACTTCACCAATCAAACATGTTTACATTCATCTGCTGCCATCTTTTCATTAAAGTTACTCTTCTATAGAAAAAAAGGAGGCTTCCAGGAAAAGAGTCATTTTCAAAGTACAGTATTAACTTCTAATCTTCCTCAGTAGCTTTCACTTTGATTTGAGGGTGAAGTCATTCCTTTCACAGATTGTAAACCAGTAACATCCTCACAGGTGTAAACAAGTTGTAAACAAGGTGACAACTAATGGTATTCCAAGTTTTAGCATTTAGACTAAGGCAACATCTTTATACACAAAGCAGATGAACTGCCTCTAAATAAAATGACGTGTGTGAGTTTTGGATTAAAGCATCTTCCGGTTGTTTCACATGTACACGACTCAATCTTTAACGCTGAAAAATGAAAAAATAAACGTATAAAAATGTCATCTGATGCTCGAAACATAAAAGAAGAAAAAATATATATCCATTCGCCGATGAAGACCGTGAGCGGAGGTTGAAAGCTCCAGGAAAATGTAAGAATAAGCTAGAGCTACGATTTTTTTTTTGTCTAATTTTTGGCAACTCATTGAGGTTTTTTTCAGAGACCATTGTTCAAAAATGAATGAATAGTAAGTATTAAGTAAGTTATTTAGATGTAGCCTATAGTTTAACTGACACGCTGAACACGTCATGGCACATCCTGTCTACAGAAATAGAACACTATATTTTAGCATTATGGTCTGAGGCAAAAATACAACAGACAAAATGAGACAAGATCCGCCTCGAACACTCAGATCTTCATCCCGCTCTATTTGAAACATACCAACAAATGACACCGAAATACACAATACACAATTTATTTGATATATAATAATTATAAATAGTGCACAAATATTTCCTGCCAAAAGAACACGGGAAAGAGCAACTATGTTAAAACACTGACGTCAACAGTAAAACTTTAGGCTACAGAAAATATGAAAATCTCCTTTTGTTTTTCTTTTAAAATAAAATTGACCGTGGAACTTTAAGTTTACAGGTATCTTAAGAAAAATTGAAATAGGTGTATAACAAACCATCTACCTCCAGAGCGACTAGACCACAAAAAACTGCCCAGTTTGCGGCTGTTTCTGCACTTTTTACCTGAGCTTATTGCAGATGCACCAAAATCCTCCAAGTCTGCTTCTGTGAAGCTGTGAAGCAAATATTCACTAAATCCAATGGAAATGTCCGGGAGACCGGGTAGCCTGTGGAAGTCCTCGGCAGTCTGAAAATCAGAAAGTGTACGTAAAGTGTTGGAGAGCGTCGGTGAGTGGGGGGATGTTATGGCAGCTCCTAATGTCTTTATTGCGCCCGTGAAAAGGCCGGAAACCCCAATAAAAGCAAGAAACACACAAAGAGACCAACTGATCGGGGGATCGAGCGGCCAGTTTGCGCCTCCTGCTTCTGTGTCGCTGCTTTATTTTTCTATTAATTTTTAACCCGGGACACGAACATAGAGGAAGCGTTGGATCCGCGTCTCCTGTTATAACCAGACGCCGCGGTTTGGAGAGGTCACACGTGGGTCACCGAGGGTTTAAAATCAAGTGTTCTGGGTTTAGATAGGATGATACGGGCTGAATCTGCAGGCTGTCTGTGCTGGAAACTGATTGTGTGTGACCATCCAGGCTTCAGCCAAAACATGGAGTGTTTTTATTCAGTCCTGTTGCAGTTTGGACACACACACACACACACACACACATATCCGTGCTTTATTCGTAGGCCTGTGGGCGAAATTCGTAAATGTTATTTGGATTATTTCTAATACAGATAGAAGTAGATTGAGGAAACCAACAATATGGGAAACGGTTCAGGTGTGGCCTGTTGTGCGCTGTCGGTCTACGGGTCTTTGATCGCTTAAATGCGGCTAAATCCAGGTTTGACTTGTCCAAAACACTGGCGTTGCTATCCGAGAATTTAAAAATCAATAACTAATAGGCTAATTAGTAGGTCAGTAGCCTATAATTCAGGGTAAACGGGAAACAGAAGTTGTTTTTGTCATAGGCACAGAGCATCTCACACATTTAAGATTCGAAGTGCGTTAGGTTCAGGCTCAGGTTGTTGTGTAGGAGTACAGACCTTCATACACAAAAACACATAGATGCATTTGAACATCTTACCACGAGCAGAGAAAACATATTCAGGTGTGTTTCACATCTCTCCCATGACGCAGCTTCGTCTGAATGAAGCTGATTTTCACTGTGAAGTAACGGATTGTGTAAAAAGAAAATGACTGCAGCGTGTGTTCGCAGAGAGTCTGAGCTCCCTGCGGCTCCAGGCCTGCAGGCCGTTAAAACTGTCACGCGTTGCCGCATTGCGAAATCGCTTTTACGCACGACGTTTCGGGCCCACACCAGCAGGGATTTTGGAAGTGCAGGTGATGCTGTTGTGATGCAGATCCTCATCATCTTCATCACCGGGTTCGAATTCACCCTGGTCACGTTAACCGGGACGCCTCTGCCAAAACTCCACTATTTTACCATGGAACGTATTAAAACAAGCCCAGCACGGTGTAAACCAGGTGACTGGTAAAATGTCACTTTCTTATTTCCATCCATGAAACAGTTTATTTTCTCCTCACGCTGCAGAGTCACTGTTGTTGTCGGGTTCCTTTGGTTATTGTGCAGCCACAGCGTCAGGCTTCATTCAAAGACACATGTTTATACCGGATCTACATCTCGGTAGCTTTGGCCGTGTGATGAGACATTGCTGAGGTTCACAGCAGACACACAATATCCACACAACACAGAATATTGCTGGTGTGAATACTTCAGTTAGCCTATGTTTTCTGATGTGATGGAAACATATTTATTTTCAAATCAACAAATGTCATTAACACTAGAACTTTAAATGGACATCATTATGATAAAATTAATAATGAACAAAGCGGTTTGTTCATTTTATCTTAATTATTATTATTTAATTTTTTTACCTTCTGGGTTTAAAAGTGAATTAAATGCATGAGGAAACAGACTAATCTGATGTGGTTCATTTCGCCATAAGCACATAGGCTAAATAAACCAGTCTATTGTCCGTGTCACTAACACTGACACTAAAAGACAGAAAAAAAGACATGAAAAGCAGAATCCTCCATGTCTGCTCAGTGTTTTGGAAGCTGCTTTGCTGTTTTAAGAGGCGGAAGAGAAGGAAAATGGCGGCGAGGAGAATGAGAGAGAAAGAGAAGGAGCAGCTCCCCTCTAACAGCGCTCCATGAAGAAATGCAATAAATTCCTTGTTGTTTTATGAAAATTTACAACTTTGTGATACAAGTTTATGAGTGGCCGCGCGCGGGGATTGGCCGACGGGCTGGTCATGTGGACGCGCTTAACGTGAACATGAACTTTTTATGATTTCCCAAGCGGCTATATTGCTGCTGCTGCACTCCGCTCCGGCCTGAGCAGCCGGAGAGCAGCCGGAGAGCAGCCGCGTCTCCTCCGCTGCTGTGCCCGGGGCGCGGAAACCCGGCGACCGCGAGGAAATTAACGCCCAGCTATAATTAAACGGACTAGTTAATGAGAATTCTAGTTGTGACTATGGAAACCGGCACGGGGAAACGTTGACAACAACCACCCCCTGCCCCCCTCCCCCAGCCCCTCCTCCTCCTCCTCCTCTTCTTCTTGCTCTTCCTCCTCGCTATGGCTCCTCGCTCCGTCTGGTCTCGTGCTGCCGTTTACGCTAAATCTGGGGGACCGAGGTGGGGACAGTTCCGCTGATGATGAGGCGAAGAGGGGGCGAGCCGCAACATCGAACCCGGGAAAACCACCCCGGAAGAGAAGGCTCATTATTTTTAATTTGAATTTGACATTTTATTGAATTTGTCAGGATGGCAGTAACGTGGTGATGAAGATGACGACGGTGTTTTGAACGACTGGGTGACAAGGGGGAATGCACCCCCCCACCCCCCCCCCCACCCTCCTCCTCCTCCTCCTCCTCCTCCTCCTCACCTCCTCGCGCCGCCACCCCTCCATCCAATTATCATCCATCCATCCGGTCTGCACACGGTAGGGCTGTCTCGTGCCATACCGGGGTGCCTGGCTGCCTGCACGCGGGACGCCGAAGTAAACCGCAGGTGTGTGTGTGTGCGGGGCTCGTGACGGATTATCAACAAACGGTAAGACCCGCTCATGCACGTTCCTCCTCTGCGCGCTGCTGCTGCTGCCGCCGCTGCTGCTGCTGCTGCACGCGCACTGTTTAACAGGAGCAAAAACAAGTCAGATTGTGGAGCTGTGCGTGATTGTGCTGCTTCTGGTTGATGCATTAACGCTGTGAATGAGGTGCTACACAGATTAAAGCGTTTCCCCCTGCATTAGGC